CTCCTTTTTTTTCCTCCCCTTCTACCCTCCCTGGAGAAATATAGAAGAGAACATTATTCTTATTTGTCCCAACAATAATGATTTCTTTTCTTCATTTAAAATTAATAAAAATGTTTCAACTTATTCAGAAGCATGAGCATGGAGGGGGATGAAAGAGACTTCATTCATGAAAAAATGTAATGTATTCATGAAATATGTATTTCAGACCCAATTATACAAGACTAGACTCTTTCTGGTAAAATGTTAGCTTTTAAATGTTACTGTAAGAGTAAACATTTTATTTTCTTCTGTTTTCTAATCTCTATATCTTTGCAACCTGATGTCGTAGACCTTAGACATTTCAAACTATGGATTCTTGTAGATCAAATCATCTAAGTTTGAAGTATCAAAGGTTTACCCGGGAATATTCATATATATTTAGGGATTAGAAAATATGAGTTTGTGGCCAAGACTCAATTCCTTTCCCAATAAAAAAAGGTGAGTCAACACAAAAAATGGGCGTATTCGGATCAGCCGTGTTGACGTTAATTGGATACAAACAGACGTACTTAAAGACAAGCCAAATATAAGGTATGTATAAGGTACTTCAAATGTGGGTTAAAATTTTATTGAATATAAAAAATAAATGTATTGAGTCAGAGTAAGTTGTAGATCAGCCATCAAGCCATACAACAATACGAGAATGACATGAAATATAACACAATATTTTAAATGTCTCGCCGGTCTTGAAAGTAGGGTTTCCAATGCGCAATTGCGCATTAATAGCGCAAAACTTAAACTGTAGCCGGCTAATTTCTCTGAAATTTAAGATTTATCTTATTTCATGCTAAAACAAGAAATCGTATTCGTAGGACAAAAAACTATTTTCTGTTGTTATGGATATCTCATTGCACTAAATCTTACCAGCTTTTGTAGTCATAGCTAGGTTTTTGATAATTAACTATAAATAAATTCATTAGTAGGAGCAAAGGCAATCTTTAACAATCATACTTTCCTAAAATTGAACAAGGCGTAATTGCGCATGGAAAGTTGATTCAAAATTTGCTTAGTTGTCTGAATTTTTGCGAATAGGAATGTATTGCAGCTGATCAAACAGTTGGTTATAAGAAACAATAACCAAGGTTACACATTTCTAAATCATTCTTGGATAAAACAGATTACATGGTTCTGGGTATACCTGGAGTTTATCAATTTTGTCTAATTACATGAACTCCTGTAACCTTAGCTCTTGTAGTCCTGTGACCCTAACTACACGGTACACTAGGACAATAACAATTCCCCCTCTTTTCAGTTCTTATCCCCTACACACAGTTTCCTTCCCATCATTCATGTATCCTTGTATCCTTGTATCCTTGTATTCTTGTATCCTTGTATCCTTGTATTCTTGTATCCTTGTATCCTTTTATCCTTGTATCCTTGTGTCCTTGTGTCCTTGTATCCTTGTATCCTTTTATCCGTTTATCCTTGTATCCTTGTATCCTTGTATCCTTGTATCCTTGTATCCTTGTATCCTTGTATCCTGGTATCCTTGTATCCTTGTATCCTTGTATCCTTGTATCCTTGTATCCTTGTATCCGTGTATTCTTGTATCCTTGTATCCTTGTATCCTTTATCCTTGTATCCTTGTATCCTTGTATCCTTGTATCCTTGTATCCTTGAATCCTTGTTTCCGTGTATTCTTGTATTCCTGTATTCCTGTATTCCTGTATTCTTGTATTCCTGTATTCCTGTGTTCCTGTATTCATGCATTCATGCATTCATGCATTCCTGTATCCCTATATTTCTGTATCACTAGCTGTATTTCAGTATCCCTGTATCACTGTATTTCTGTATCCCTGTATCCTTGTATCCCTTTATTCCTGTATCTCTGTATGCCTGTATCTCGTTGCCATTGATTGAAAATATTTGAGAATTTGACAAAGTTCTTTATGTTTATTCTGCCTAAAACAACATAATATAATCGGTATCAAATCAATGTAAAATATAAAAATAAAGGATTCCCAATGATCAGGGTTTGTCCAGGGGTTAAGGGTGTAATGACATATATTTATATATTAGGAATGGGGAAGAGGGTAGGAGTTTAACAAAACGGGTTAAGGAGAGAAAAAAAGCATGAAAACAATTTCCATCAAAGATATGTATAGTTTACAATTAAAAGTTCTAAGATTAAACTAAAATCCAATACAATATTTTAACTGTAAAACAATTTTGTAAAATTATTTTGAGCAAAGATAAGGATAATATGTACATTTACTATGATCACTATTAAGGTGCCAGCCCATTAAACAAATTTGAATCATGATTGAGAGAGTGGGTTCTACTGAATGAATAAATTTTGGGTTAAAAAGTCAATGAAAGAAACCCACTCTAGGTCATTATTTATACTGGAAGAGTTTATTATCCAAGGCGTTAATTGAGGACTTTAAATCAGGTCAGAGGTTCTATTGGTTTAATCATCTCCAGGTTCATTGTTTGTCTGCATGAATCTTCTCCAGGTTGTTTGTTGGATAAAGGAATTGAGTCTTTTCCACAAACTCTAATTTTCTAATCACTAAATCTATAGAACCAAATGTTGCAGACCTTAGATATTTCAAACTATGAATTCTGTTAGATCAAATAATCTGAGTTTGAAATATCAAAGGTTTACAACATCGACTTCTATAGATAGTGAGGTTTAAATATTTGATTTTGTTCCAAAGATTCATTTCCTTTGCTCCGGGTCCTATGTTTTACTGGCAGAATTTCTTAATTTTCCTTCCTTTTTTGTCAAGAGGAGGTCTGTAGTTATCCACCATACACTTAGAGCTCTCACACCCAGTAGTTAATGATCTAAACAAATCTCATCAAAACAATGTCACAAAGATCTTTTTATAGATAAAAAGCAGTTCGTCAAAATTGTATGTGGGTATGTCTGTGACGTATAGCCGGACAACCCGTTCCACGCCGCGCAAGGTTTTTAATTATGCAATTTCTCGGGTGAGCTTTTACGTGGTCTTAACATTTTTGACATCTAAATTGTCTTTTGGTCAAAAATGTCTCGACCACGTCTAATCTCCTTCGAAAATGCGCCATTAAAAACGTATCCCGCAAAACAATAATAACCCTCACTTTCATAATGGACCCTACGGAGTACATAAATGGTTAAAATTGAAATGTAGATTTCTATATAATATTTTAGACAAACTGATCCAGCCCCGGCCTACAAGGCCTACTCATTCCAATTTCCACATATTTGATAATATAGTTCTAAATCTTATTAAGTTGTAATTACCCCCAGAAATTAGATAGATAAAGAGATTTATATTTGGTATTTGTGATTTATATAGATAGTTTGACAGCAGTTAATTTCCTTTATAAACTTGAAGAAACATTATCTCCAGCAGTTCCTAGTTTTTAAACAACAGTACTGAAAAATAATGGTGGACACAATAAGTGCAGATAAACAGACAACTTAGATAACTTTTACAGAATTAGATTATTCCTTTGAAATTTTATTTAAATTTTTATTAAGTCCACAGAATTTATTTCAAGGTTTTTTTTCTTCAAGTTATTTCTAAAATCCCTTTTTTAAGTGTAAATTTAGACTTTTAAAGCATCAGTGACACTATACGAAAAAAAGTTACTTGAAAATCTATAGAAAAAAATTTCAAACTTATTTTTAAAACAGGTAATCTTTTAATTTTTGTCACATTAAAAAAAGGAATTGAGTTTTTTACAAACTCCGATTTTCTAATCACTATATCTTTGTAACCCAATGGCATTGACCTTAGATATTTCAAACTAAGAATTCTGTTGGATAATAAAATCTTAGTTTGAAATATCAAAGGTTTTACACCATCCAGTTACAAAGATATAAGGATCAGAAAATTTGAGTGAGTGGCAAAGACTTATTTCATTTGGAAAAAAAAAGCAATTGACTAATGAACGTGAAAGTTGTAAATATTCTAATAATACTAATTATACTAACTTTAAAATATAAAGACGACATGTTATCCAAAAAAATGTGTGATACGTTGATTTTTATTCTGTACTTCAATACTGATACTTCGGCTCGCACAAAAAAAAATCACGAAAAAAAGATTTTTTCTAAGAAAACACGTGAAGCAGGTTGCAATAATACATCTCTTTGAGGTTAAAATTTTATAAAGAAAATATCATTGTAAAGTAAATCAAATTTGAAATGATGAATAAGTAATTGTCAAATAAACAAATGTTAAAAGAAAAAATTGTATGTACAATAAATAAGATGCAAGTTTGCCTTAATAAACTGAAAACACAAAGCATAATAAAGTGCATTTATAGTTATTGTAAGAATTTTCTGAAAGCAAATTCAAATTATGTAAACCAAACCGAACTAAGCCATTGCATTTAGCAAATATATAGACTTTTTATACAGAGTAAACAGCAAAGCATGACACTTTAATGACGACTTATGACTGTAAATAATACATAATAAAACTCCTTGCTCATATATATATATATATGTTTTTAAGTTCGCTATAGTTGGCTCACATTTTTTAGGAAACCCATGGGTACCCTAGGGGTAACATAGGCTAAAAAATTAGATTTTTCTTTTTAAATTCCAAAAAATTTTCTTCAAAATTTCACATTAAACTTAAATCCTTTCATTCAAAAGTGTGCACAGTAAATATTGAGTTCAGTCGCTGAAGCTAAGTTTTGCCCTCTGTATTTTCCAGGTATACCCAGAGATACAGGACTATAAAACTATGTAAACCAACTAGGTATACTCCAGGAGACCTAGAGATTCAGAACTATAAAAGTATATAAACCAACTATATATACTCCATGTAAACCTAGAGATACAGGACTGTAAAACTATATAAACCAACTAGATATACTCCATTTATTCCTAGAACACAGACTGTAAAACAATATAAACCAACTAGGTATACTCCAGGCATACCCGGAGATACAGGACTGTAAAACTATATAAACCAACTAGGTAAACTCCAGGTATACCCGGAGATACAGGACTATAAATCTATGTAAACCATCTAGGTATACCCCAGGTATACCCGGAGATACAGGACTATAAACTATATAAACCAACCAGGAGTCTGGGAACCAATCAACAAGGAAGAAGTCAATCATCTGATTGTGAAACTAAGTTCAATCAAACCATCTGATAGATAGATACAAATAACAAGGCTCCTAATTACCGCTGCTAATTACACCTAATTCACATTGTAAGGGTAATTTTGACCAGATTCTCTTAAACAACCTGGGGTTTCAATATTTTTATAAGATGACAAGATTTTAAAGACAAATTGTACAGGGTGACGCAATATCATAGGGTGTATACAGAGGAGAGCTAGGGGGCTCGGTCTCCTGGAAAAGTGGTGGCTTGTATTTTTAGGGGGCAGGGGTGTTTCAGCCCCTATTTCAATTATAGAGCAAAACTAATAACATTTTGAAAAAAATCATATCTGTAATTAGAGTAGGGATAAACAAACTGAATACTTGCCTCAAGCAGTAATTTTCTGATCCAATATATAATTGCAACCTAATAGCGAAGTTTATAATATCAAAGGTCTGCAATATCAGGTTACGTAGTTACCTCATTTTATTGATCTGATCTTCAGATAGCTCTATAGGAGAACAGAATAGGATCCAGGTTACACTCTCAAACAAGGGCGGAGTAGTTAGAGATCCAGGATAGGTATAGTAACTCCGGTCTCCCTGTATAGATCGTTTATAACTTTTTAATCAGTAGAGATCAATTTTAGATCGATAAAGATAATCTTTAAATTGGGTGAGATAGTTTTTAGTTCGGTAGAGATTTTTTGATCGATGTTGGTAATTTTAGATCGGTAGGGCTCGTTTTCAGATCAGTAGAGATCAGTTTTAGATCATTAGAAATCGTTTAAGATCGCAGAAATCGTTATTTTATATCGGTATTTAAAATTTTCGATTTTTTTAGGTCGATAAAGATCATTTCCAGATTGGTAGAGATCATTTTTTGGATCGATAGAGATAATTGTTCACAGATCTTGTACAATTTTTGCTTGACCAGATCGATTTGGTTGACTTTGTAAAGAGTTTTCAGATCGCTAAAAACAGTTTTCTTTATCTCGAAAAAACGAAAAACCATATAAAGGCCTTGTATGGACAAAGCAAAGAAAAAAAGAGCAAATTTTTTTCATTTCTGTTTATTTTTTAGTTTATATTCTACCTCTGGTAATAATAGTTCTGGATTGAATGACTCTTCCAGCATGATCTCAGAACCACTCTCATGGATCTCACACAGATGCCTACATAATGCAGGAATATATAAACACCAGGTTATTAGGGCCATCTTCTATTTTAACTTTTATTTGTGGCTCTATATCATTGACAAATATAGACACTCAGTCAACTCATCTCATGAAACCTCAAATCCAAGAGGAAGTGGGGTTCATACAGTACGCACACTGCAGGGTCTGCAGGGGTTTGTTTTAAATTTTGATTTTGGCATGTATTTAAATCAAATATTTAGTAGGCATTTTGCCGGCGTACAGATCAATACTAAATGATCTGAAAGAAAGATAGATATTTTTCCCCTAAAATGTAAACAAAAATATAAAGTAATAAAAGGAAGCACTTGTTTTTTAAAGAATATGTATACAAACAAAACCAATATTTCTAAAATTGTACAGTTCTGCCCAGCTTGCCTGCTGTACTCAGTGCACTGAACCTCTATCAATATCTACTCTGTGTTCTATCTGTAAGCATCTTCTCCTTGTACAATATAAAAACAATTATAAATACCATTAACATCATACAAAACATAGAAACATCCTTTAAAAGTTGTAAAAATCAACATTTAATTGTATAAAAAGTATATACCTAGCAATAATATCAAAGTGAGGATGAGGTTTTCCTGTTTTGACGAGCATCCCGAGCACAGCGAGTCCATCATGCTTATCCAGGGACTCTCCAGAGTTCTCATACTAATGTACAATACAGTACAGTGCAGTACAATTCGGTACAGTGCAGTACAGTACAGTACAGTACAGTAAAGTACAGTACAGTACAGTTTAAAATGATCAGTAATTACAGATACTTTGAGAATACTAGAAGAAACATTTAGACCACATTTTGTAATTTATTCGCTTACCTTTGTGTTGTAATGAACAATATGTATCTCAGCATCAAAAGATTGACCGCTAATCGTGTGCTCACTGCCTTGTCCTGGACTTGAACCCCAGTGAGCGTGCACCTACGGATAAATCTCGAATACATAAACAGGTTTGAGATCAGCTTTAGTGCGTCATAATATCATATTGGATTATCTAGAAGCTTAAACGCCGAAATACGCAAAAAAAATACTCATGGGACCTTGTATTTCTGGCACGTAAATTTGTATAATAGCCTTATCACTGTAATCTCTGGTTGATTTGAAGTACCAGACTGACTTGACGGAAGCTAGGGCCAGTTGTACCGTATTGTTTATAGAATATACACGGCTAAAACGGTACAGTGCACCAAATAAACAAACTCCTTCTTCTGATATTATTATAAAATACACTTTTTTAGGTAATTTCGGCTTTTTAAATTATCTTTTTTTTCCCAAAAATCCCAATTTAGATTCCCAATCCAATATAATTGGAGACATCCTGTATAGGAGGGGATCGAGGAAGGCCAGCCACAACAATTTCTAGTCCGAGCCACAGTCTCCTCATTTTCTAATCCGAGCCACATCGAAATCCTCGTTCTTTCATTATCATGTTTTTTAAGTTTGGCTTGGACTAAATGAGGAGAATGTGGCTCGGACGAGAAATTGTTTTGGCTGGCCTTCCTCCCCTCTGTAGAGTGAATTGCGAGCAACAATGTTTATATTTTATAAAGAAATATATTAAGTTTACTGTATATTATACGGAAGATTAATATTCTTTTTAACCTTAACTTTATCATTATAACATTTACGGGATTGTCGACCTAATTTAAGGAAACCTTCCTGTTCAAGAGGACGATGCCTGATTTACGAAGGTACTCTTAAAACCTTTGCCTGTCCCAAAAAAATGTTGTTTTCTATCTTAAAATTGGTAATTTACAATTTTCTCTACTTGCGGAGATATGATACAGACAAAATGTTTATTTCTATTTAAGAAAAACGATAATATCTTCCTCATTTTATCTAAAATAAAGGTTTGAAGCAAGAATGTAATGCAAGGAAAGTTAATTGCAGTTGTGTATACTCTGCGGACATGTTGAAACCAGTTCTCTCTGGGCGGAATTTGTAAATAAGAATAGATGCATCAGTGTTCGCTTAGTATCCGAGGAGGTTAAAAGCATTAATTTTGATAATTTTGATAATTCACATAATAGTTTCCTATGACAAGAATGATTATTTATGTGAAAGATGGATCCCATGTCAGGTTTCGACATCCGTCTTGTGTTTACATTACCGCCCAGAGACAGTACACTGCGGTACAAAAGATGCGTACACCTCTGAAATAACTTTCCTTGCATTAAATCCTTGGTTTGAAGGGTACTGTTGGGAATCGGTTATGTAACTCTTTTCAAGGGACTGATTAAAGGGACTGTAAGCGTAATTTCAAGCCCGAAGTTTAGCTTACAGTCCCTTTAATACTGATAATTGAACCGTAAAATTCGTAGTTGGGGAACTACTGTTATTTATTTTCAAACTTCCATACTTCATTAAAGACAGAAGGTGAAGAATGAAGAGGAAGAAAAAAGAAAAAATATGTAGAAAGGAGAACAAAGAACAAGAAGAAAAGAAAAGCAGAACGAAGAAGAAAGAAGAAAAAAGTAGAAAAAAATAGTAAAGAAGTAGAAAGGAGAAGAAAGAAGCAGGAATGAGAAGAAAGAAGAAGAAGAATGTAGCAGAAAGATGAAAAAACAGAAAAAAATGAAAAAGAATAAGAAGAAAAATTAGGAAGGAAAAAAAAACAAAAGAAGAATGAGAAAGGAGCAGGAGAAGAAGAAGAAAAAAGAAATAGGAAGAATTAAATGATAAAGGAGAAGAAGACGACGAAAGGAGAAGAAGAAGAATAAGAAAGAAGTAAGAAGAAGAAAGCAGCAGAAAGAAAGAAAAAGAAGTAGAAAGGACTGAAAATGATAAAAAGAAAAAGAAAGGAGAATAAAGAAAAGAAAAGCTGAAGAGGAAGAAGAAATGAGACTATTGGAGAAACAAGAAACTGAAATTAAAAGGAGGAAAAGAAGGGAGTAAACAAACTGTTAAAAAAAGTTTCAAATGTTTATTTCTATCTGCTGTCCATTGTGTTTAAATACATTTTTATAATTTATATATAATTTTTCATTCATTATACAATATACATTCATTATATTACATCACAAATATTTCAGTTGTGCAATATAATTTAAATATTTTCATTTTAGACAGTTAGACTTTTATTTATCAATTTGTTTGTTTTGTCTAGCTTTGAAGTTTCCAACTTAGTGTAGACTTTGCTATTTTATTATTCTCTTTTAGAATTTCAAGAATGCTTTCAAAAATACGGTCAACTTGGGGTCAACTTCATTTTTTTCGATTTTTTTGACTTTTTGATCAAGATATTCCTTTATTGAAAAATCTTTGTAAAGATAGATAAAAGCTAAATCTGTAGTTTCAACAGATTTTTTTCCTTTTTTGTCCGATACGCCCCTTTTCCATATTTTTTATGAAACTTCGTTACGTAAATTTTGATGAAAAATCCGGATTTTGAACAAAGATTTGCTCACCAAAAATGTACAAATAACGCTAACAGATTGAAAATACGCAAGGATAGCGAGATAAGCAAAATGTTAGTTCTCCTTTCTTATTTTTGAGTCAGCTTTGTTTCTAAATATTTCAAAAGTTTGCATAACGGTGCCTTCTTTATTCCTGTAGTTCAGGATACATGTGACCCAAGCAGATCTCGTGACAAGCAGGAGAATACAGGAGAATACAGGAGAATAATACAGGAGAATACAGGAGAATACAGGAGAATACAGGAGAATACAGGAGAATACAGGAGAATACAGGAGAATACAGGAGAATACAGGAGAATAATACTGGAGAATACAGGAGAATACATGAGAATATTGGAGAATACAGGAGATACAGGAGAATACAGGAGAATACAGGAGAATACAGGAGAATACAGGAGAATACAGGAGAATACAGGAGAATACAGGAGAATACAGGAGAATACAGGAGAATACAGGAGAATACTGGAGAATACAGGAGAATAAGGAGAATACAGGAGAAAAAGCTTCAGGAAATTGATTAAAAAGAAGTTCAACAATATGGAGATGAAAGCAATGCATTTTACTAATTTGTGAATTCAGATTAGCAAAACTGTTGCAAAACATTTTGAAAGAGAAGAGAAGAGGGTACGATTACATCTTTACGGTCAGAGCCCAAAACTTAAGACAGGGTATCGTAATGACAGCCAGTTTTAAAACCCGGGTTTCGCAAATGGGGTTAGGCAGTTTTGTGGATATCAATATTTTTGTTGTGAAATATTATTTTATTTATTTTCTTCATATTCTCCATTTTTTTAAATCTCTTAAATCAAAATCTACACAAATGTTAAGACCCCAAAAAGGAAACTCGAGAGTTTCGTCCAACGATACTGTTTTAAATTTCGAGCTCAGAGGGTCCAGATTCTTACATAAGTAGCTTAAGTTTGATGCATTGAGACACCTTTTTTTGACCCCTTGAGTTTCCAGTAAACCTTGATATTCCTGTTTTACTTGGAAACCTGATTCCAGGGATACTTTATTTACTGGAAACCTTAATATTCCTGATACGTTTTATGTATTCCTATAAACTTGATATTACTGGAAACCTTGATATTCCTGGAAACTTTTTTACTTGAAAACCTGATTCCCGGAATGCTTTATTTACTGGAAACCTTGATATTCCAGGTACGTTTCATGTTTTCCTAGAAACCTTGATATTCCTGGAAACCTTGATATTCCAGGTACGTGACATGTATTCCTAGAAACCTTGATATTCCAGGTACGTGACATGTATGCCTAGAAACCTTGATATTCCAGGTACGTTTCATGTTTTCCTAGAAACCTTGATATTACTGGAAACCTTGATATTCCAGGTACGTTTCATGTATTCCTAGAAACCTTGATATTACAGGTACGTATCATGTATTCTTAGAAACCTTGATATTTCTGGAAACCTTGATATTCCTGGAATCCTTGATATTCCTGGAAACCTTGTTTACCTGGAAACCTTGTTTACCTGGAAACCCCGATATTCTCCCTGCAAGGGACCTCCCCGGAGCCAGTTTTCCTCCGGCCAGAGGTTCAGCATCCAGCTTGCTCCGGTGTTGTTCATCTTACAGTACTCTCCGTCTCCATAGTTGCAGGAGATAGGAAGAAGAGAGCTATCCTGCTCAACCTCCTTCTCAGGAACATCTACAGGAGACTGTCTCACACCCTCTTCAGCTGAAACAATATTTTCGTCTAAGATCTAATTTTTTACTTGGTGTAAAAATTATTCTCTTTGAAATCTGTTGATTGAAACGGTAAGAACCATAAAACTATGAAATTCAAAGACGACATTTCAACAATTGTGTATTTGATGGTGTTAAAAAGGATTTATCGGTACTTAAAAATCGTTGATAACGTAAAATGACACTGCACAATTGTTGTGTCTCATGCTCTTTTTGCAGACTATTAAACAAATAACTTGGATCTAAAAGTCGTCTTCCTATCTTATTTTTCTGGTTCTCATTGTACATGCAGAATATAGTTTGAATCTTTGATTGTTTTGTTTTCAGCCGAAGAGTAAAAGAAACAAATTTTTCAAAATATTTAAATTTCAGGTCAAAGATAGAATGAAAACAATTTTCTCCGGTGCAAAATTAAAGATATTTATGCATCTCAGATTATTTCTAAAATTGCTTCCTGCCTACCTATTGGATACCAATTACTCCAGGTGTGGGGGCCGTTGTGAGGTCCGTAGCCCCACTTCAGGAACTGGTTTAAGAAATTCAACGCCATTTTATCTGGAATACATTTATTTGAGAATTATTAAAAGTTCTTTAGTTGTTTTGCAACTAGAGAACTAAGATTAAAAAATCCGTGATTTTCGCAAGATGTTTTAAATCAGACCCAGGGAAATTATTTTTAATGTCATTTAACCGGTCACATTTTTCCAGGATTATAAGTTTCCGCATTCAAATACCTAGCAACTTAAAATTTCATTATTTTACCTATTCTACGTCCGAGGTTGCTTGTGGCGTCACTTCTCTACGTTGGATTATTTCTTTGAGGTGTTTAATCTGTATTCTACATCAATTATCTTCCATGCAGAAACTGAAGCGATCAAGCCTGAATCCGTAAAAAGGAAACTTTTATTTCCGCGATCTAATAAAGGCCAGTAGCATAGATATATGTGGTTTCTGACGACGCTCTATTTGGGAGAATCCTAATGGAATTAACGTAATCCGCTGAACTTCTCCTTTCTGAAGGAATTAACGATACAAAATATCCGACCTCGGTTCAACTGTAAACAGTTTTTATTGTTGAGTTGAGGAGTTGAGGAGTTGAGGAGTTGAGGAGTTGAGGAGCTGAGGAGTTGAGAAGTTGAGGAGCTGAGGAGTTGAGGAGGTGAGGAGTTGAGGAGTTGAGGTCATGTTTTTATGCATTCTGAATCCTTGTAAATCAAAGCCCTAGGGTTGTCATAATAGACTGAAAATGAATGTGAAATGAGCAATGCATTCAATAATAATAACTTTGATATAATTTCTTAAGCTACCTGAATACACAATTTACAGGAATAAAAAACGGATTACTCGTGAAAGCTTTCCTTTCCTTCCTGCATTGTTAGAAGGATACATTTATATTTGAAATAAACCGAGAACACAATGAATAAAATAATTTAGCCCAATTTTCCAAGATTTTATGCTGAAGTCCTGAGCTGAGAACTATCAACTGAGCAACCATTTAGCTTTTCAAGAAGAAGATAAACTTATTAAGTTCATTCATAAGTTCCGTGCCATAACACCCTGGTATCTTTACATAATCATTAAAAGCAGGTGATTGGTCGTTGTCTTCACAACCAAGCCGGCTTTCTCTCTTACATTGCGTAGAATTAAAATTAGAAATACAGAAATATGTAAAGTAACCATCGTAGTAGTGTGTACAATATGTAAATATGAACCGTACAAATATACAACTATATGTATATAGATTTTGCTAGGTTAAGAACATAGTATTTGTTTGAGTTGAAACTTAAAAATTGAGAGGGATGTAGATAGCGGCCATTTTCTTGCTTGTTTTTACTACAGAAAACCAAGACAGTAAATAAACGTTTGAATTAAAAAAATATCACCAGCATCGTAACGATATGTAACCCCTTCCGGACTCTCTTCATTATGAAATTATTTTTTTTTCTTTTTTACCTTAAGTTATATCTTGTAAACTGGCTTAGTTGTTATTTTTTTGTTGAATAAAAGTGAAATGTGCAAATATATTTTGCATCTGTAGATTAAGTGCAAGTTAAGTGTATAATAAATTTAAAGCTTTGCATCTGATGCGTATAAAACGTGTCTCATTCAATTAAAAAGAATTAATAGCAGTTTTAGTTTGAAATTTATAAGAAGCTTTCTTAATTAGTTCTGTGGATAAAAGAGTTGATTTTTATATAAAATTTAAAAGGACTGTCTGGTGCATGTCTGATTGAAAACGAAACCGTTTAGCCCTTGATCGGATTAACAACAAGAACGATATCGTCGTTTTTATATCGAGAACCACAATTAAAAGTGATAAATTTTCAGATAAAACGCCAAGGATATCTTATTAATTTTTGACTATATACAAAGTATGTACACAGTAAACAGTCCCTTTAAATTCCATTTGATATTTCTATTTTGCGTACAAGAGAAGTGAATGAGAAATAAAACGCTTTAAAGCGTCAACTATGTGTTGTTTAAGAGAAACAGTGTGATGATCCTCCGACAAGGGTCCAGAAAGCACTGTAGTAGTTTATATTGTATCTTTTACACTTTATTCTCCAATTTCCTTTCTAGATATTTGCATATACAGTATCTATATATAAATTTAGCTTGTCTGTCTGTTTGTTTGTTTGTTTGTATCCAATAAACGTCAAAAAGGTTGAACCGATCGGGGCCAAATTTTTGTGGGATCTTACGTGACCCCAGGGAAGGCTTATGAATGATCAAAATTTTAAAATTTGTGTTTAAAAGTTTTTATTTTTGTAAAATTGTTAAAAATCTTGAAAATCCGCGAATTTTTTTTTGATAAAATCCGCGAAATTCTTTTCTTCTTTGTTTTTCAATGTTTACAATGAGAACACGTTCACAATTGAAATAGAAGATGGGCGCGAAGCGCCCTTTAAAGCCTAGTACGATATAAGGGGAAATGATAAACATTGAAAAATTTTATATCTCAGGTTTTTTCCAAGAAAAAAAAAACATTTTTTAAAAAAAATCAACGTTAGGAAAATATTGAAAAGTTTACCGTTTGTTATAATTAATGACCTGAAATAATATACACAGGAAAAGCATGAGTGGTGAGTAGTGCTAATTATACCTTTTTTAACGGATACTTCATCATCTTTAGATAATTAAACTATTTTTAGTAATTTATTTACTTCAAGCGTCTTTATTTTATAAAAGGAATTGGGTCTTTGTCACAAACTCAAATTTACTAATTCTTATATCTTTGCAACCTGATTGTTGAAACCTTTCATATTACAAACTTAAGTTGTTTGATCTAACAAAATTTACAGTTTGAAATATCTAAGGTCTACGACATCATGTTGCAAAGATATGGGGATTAGAAAATCAGAGTTTGTGGCAAAGACTCAATTCCACTTCTAGAGACAATAGATGTCCCATTGGAACATGAATGGAAAGTTCCGGTTTTACAAGAACTTTTAAGTACAAGAATGAATAATTTATATGTTGAAGGATTCGATGATTACGTAATAACTGAAATGATAAATATGCTATGTAGTGAGTAAAAATCATTGTTTTCTATTTGTGCATAATTTTGCATATTTTTTTTCTCTTTTCTTTTGGAAACCTGTGTTTTCAAAAAAAAAAAAAATTTATTTAAACAAATTTTAACTACACCATTTATATATGTATTTATATCTTTGTGTGTGAATAAATCTTTATAATAATTATGAATTAGATATCCATGTTTTGTCTTTGAAAACTTATTATTTTGCTTTATGGTTTTTCTACAAAAGTGACCTGGGCTTCCATGCTTCAGAAACTATGGAGAAAATATCAAGGATACCGTTGTGAATCTCGCATGACCCTCTCTTTAAATAGAAGGTCTCCTAAAATACGGTGACTGTCCCTTTAAAAAGAAACAGGAGGAACAAATTAACTTCTGGGTCCAGCGGTAAGAGTCTAATTACTATTAGTCCGTCTCCATATATGTGTAAGATAGTTGACAAAAAAGAAATTTTGTGTTGAAAAAAAACTTTTTCTCTGGGGAATAAAGTTTAGATTTACGCAATTTTAAAAATAATTTCTTGTGAAGTTTCTAAGATCAACAAACTAAAAAAGAAAGAAAGCCTGTTGAATTATTCGCCCCTTTTGAATTTCATCCTAGAAAATTCCAAATTTTCTCCAAAAAAAGAACAACAAGTGTTAATAGAGAGGAAAAATGTTAAGTCATGAAAATAACCTCTGTAAAAATTAAAAAAAGATGCTTTTACGTTATATATGTGTTTTATCAGTCAATGCCCAATTTTGAAGCTCTCAAAGGAATTGAGATTTTGCCACTCAAATTTTCTAATACCTAAATCCTAATGGTGTAGACCTTTGATTTTTAAACTTAGACTATTTGATATACCAAAAACTAAAGTTTGAAATTTCATAGGTCAACGAAATCGGGTTGTAAATATAAAGGGATTAGAAAATCAGAGTTTGAAGGCAAGACTCAATTCCTTTTGCTTTGCAATTTCAAAAATGAATTGATTAAAATCTAATTTGTTTTTCAGTCCTAACTCCTCTTATTCAATAGATATTAACTAGGGCCAAAAATGTTTAAAATTTTTATATTTAAGCTTTACTGTGTAAAATCAAACCTAGAGTAAAGCAGCTACAAGGTCACAAAGTCGAACCATTGATATCGCATAAATCTTACCATCACTTTCAGTTTAGCGCAAAGGAACTAAACATATATTTTAAAATCCCTATATTATTGCAACCTGATCAAAACTTTTGTGTTGTGCGTCCTGGGATCAAGCAGTTTTCGTATCTTGTAAAGTGTAGTCCTACAGATTTAATTAAATACTCTAGGATATCTCCATGGTGATCATACTCTGCAGGGATAACTAAAATTGAGGGATCAAACACAGTGGATATCAAGATCAAGCATTGAAAATTATCATGCAAAATCTTTGACTTCCGATGTCGCAGATCATCAAACAAGGAATTTTGCTAGATCATGTCATAGTAAGAGGTTGATGTTTTTAAGGTTAACACCATCCGAATAATAAGATATAGGGATTAGAAAATTGGGTTTGTGGCGAGTGGTCAATTTCTTCTGACGTTGTACAGCTCTATTTATTATTTTTTATTTATTAATCCTTAGTTTTGTTTTGTTGTCTATAGTTTTACGTTATACAGTGTATACTTGTCTGGTAAATTATATTCTGTATATCTAAAACCAATCTTGATATCTATCTAGCCATGTTACACTGAAATTATAGTGGCATAAACGTCAGGTTGGGTGCTAAACCTTAGAGATAGAGATACAGCCCTATACTAAACTATTATACCGAGATACAATTCAATTCAATACATTTATGTACAATCATTGTATAATGTTTCATCTAGCTGAATTATAGATATTAATTATTTAAGTGATGTCGTCTTTCATTTCCTTGTTGGGGTTTCGTCTGTGTCTAAGGAAGTACATTTTTTATTCCAAACTAGCTTGAGAACCCAGCTTTCACTGGAAAGTAAACTTTCGAAATAAAAAGTCAACCTAATCAACTTAGAATTGATATAGTAAGCTCCGAACATTCCCTTGAACTT